GTCATCTTGAACCTGCCCATTCCCCTCTGACGTCAACAAGGCATTTTCGTCCACACAACTGCCCCTCACTGGATATTTTCTCTTTTTTGGACCATTCTCTGTAAACCCTGGAGATGGTTGTGTGAGAAAATCCCAGTAGATCAGCAGTTCCTGAAATACTCAGACCAGCCCGTCTGGCACCAACAACCATGCCACGTCCAAAGTCACTTAAATCCCCTTTCTTCCCCATTCTGATGCTCGGTTTGAACTTCAGCAAGTTGTCTTGACCATGTCTACGTGCCTAAATGCATGAGTTGCAGCCATGGACTGGCTGAATAGCTATTTGTGTTAACAAGCGACTGAACATGTGTTAAGCGGCTGGTGAGTGCACATAGCTCATGAAAAGACCGCTGCACTATTCCACAAGGCTTAAATTAAAAAAAGAGTAAATGAATTCATTGATGCTCAAATCTAATTTCTAATCTATCCACTTTTCGAAACATTTGCGCTCACATTAAATGTTGCCTGTGAACGTACTGTCGCTTTGTGAATAATGTCTCAGTTTCAAGAGAGAAACTCTCAAGTAATATTTATAGAAAGGCTATTTTTATACATCTTCCCACCTCCCACCTCGTCTCGGTCTCTTTCCTCTGGTAACAAGTGATTATTATGACAGTAGAGAGATGAATGGTACTGTTGGCGCACAGTGGAGACAAAACCTGAAACAGGCCTGTGAAAGTGACGGGCTGGCTGGTTGGCAGGCTGACACATTTTCTTGACGCCTCAGTAATAGTCATTATTTCAGTGGCTGGACAGGTGAGGGCGCAGCACCTGCATGAATTAGGAAGAGGCTCAGGAGAAGCAATGCATAACAAAACACGTCCAAGTATTTTCAACTTTGAATGGCAGATCTTGCTTTCCATTATAATAGACAGGGACAACTGATTATGTCAACACTGACTCAGAAGTAGAGTTGTTTACAAGTAAAACAAGCATCTTGGTTTGCATATGTCAAACAGTCCCACACACTACCAGTATATTATGGACATCACACTTGTCTATATAGATCTACAAAGAGTTCTACAGAAATTACCAGAGGTCACAAAAATGATGACATTAGACTCGACTTGACAAAATCAAAGAAGACTTGCGACTCGACTTTGACTTGAACAGCAATGACTCGTGACTTCACTTGGACTTGAGCCTTTCGACTCGAGCTGACTTGACACTCCCCATGCCCGAATATAAATTATGATATCAACATAGCGCTGTGCTCAATTAGACTGGAGCATGTGGCTTCCTCCAGCAAGAGGGAACAATCACAACAATCACCGACAGCGCACCCGGCCGTTCCGCGATCTCCTGTTCCTGGCCCTGTACGCCCCAGCGACCGACTCCCTCTCCGGTACCTACAATGGGTTGTGTAGTAGGCCTATTACCAGCGCGCTGCGAACGGTTCGTGATCGTTCCCTCTGGCTGGAGGAATTTTACGCATAGGCTTATCCATGCACAACAGCTGGGGGCCTGACGCAGCGCCACGCAACTTTCTAAATTCCTCCACCTCACGGAGAAAAGAAAGGTCAGGTCGAAACAGTGTAGAGAGACTGCTGCAGCTGTTGCGTGAAGCTGCTTCCACCAAGTTCATTAAGATAAAACGATAATAGCGCCGGTGCTGTTTCAAAACCACACTCGTTTTGTTTTATAAATCCAGCGCACCCCTTTCCTTCACAGCTGAGGCTCTCGTTCCTCCCTAAGAGGCGTGTTCAGTGTTGCTTTACCTGATCGGTTCTTGTAAAATATCCACTGTGTCTGCGTCTTCTAACGTCTTAGCGATTTATAGTTTTCTCACCGCTGGTGTTTGTCACTGCATCTCGCGACAAAACACCAGGGTTTTATTTCAGCGTTCTGTAACGTAACTTCGTCAACTCGAATAATTCACCTGTCACCTGCTCTGCTCCCATCCCCTGTTGTCGTCCTCTTGCACACTAGATGCTGCTTAAAGTTAATAATGTTGGATTATTGTTTCTTATTTCATGGGCTATTTGGGATTTTTCAGTAATGCATATATAGTAGTCTAGTTTTTAAAAAGAAAGTATTACATTTCAATAGTTAATGTTTCCAAAGGCAATGAGTAATCCTGTTAAATAATTGTGATCTCAATATTGACCAAAATAATTAGCAGCCCTGCATGAACATTTAATTTATTTCATGAAATTTGTTGTGTGAAACTACGCCTCTGCCTTCTTTCTGTACAGGCTAATGCTTCATTCAATACATTGTTTTATTTTTAACTTGAAAAAACTTTCGAAATGGTTTTTAAATTTGGTGAAGAGCACATTATGACTTGTTTAGGACTCGAAACTCAAAGTTTAAGACTTGGACTTGACTCGGACTTGCCACTCATGATCGGTCTGGACTTGGGACTCGACTTGGGACTTGAGTGGTAAGACTTTAGACTTGACTCAGACTTGTAAAACGATGACTTGGTCCCACCTCTGGAAATTACCACAGACACACCTCGATGTCGAATTCTGGAAAGTTCTCATGTCCAACAAAGCCCTGGACATTGCTCCGATAAAAACTAAGTTACCTCCACAAGCACATATTTATGTGACAATAGGCTAGGCTTACTGCCTTTGCACTGCGCTGAGCCAGAGTTTATGGACATTCACCCGTCTAGTCTTTGCATCACTTAAAAAATAAAGATGAATTCTTTTAATCAAACAGCTCTGTATCCATGTAGACTAATATATAATACTGTCTTCATCTCAACTGGTCAATTATTTGACTCAGCCTTAACCAGGTTTTATAAAAATAGGTTAGACCTGCTGAGAACTTGGAAGACCACAAAGTGAGTCAAAGCTATGAACAGGTGTACAGTCAACAGGGGTGTAGACCAATTCCTGCGCAGAGTATGATAAGGCGGCACATGTTCCTTGCCTCAGTGTGAAAGATGAATATGACCCACTGGTGAAAAGGTCACCACACCTGCTGCTCAAACTCTAAACCTCCTTTTCACTTTCTGTAGCAAACAGACACCTGCGTATGTGTGTGTGTGTGTGTGTGTGTGTGTGTGGCCACAGTCTGATACAGCTTATGCCTCCCATGCCATAGAAAGCAGTTTTTGTGCTAAACCGATTATAGAAAAAAAACTATATTCATATCACAGGGGCTGCAATTTTTAAAAAAAAAGTTAAATGTGTCACAGCACACCATTATAAATGAAGCTTTATGGTGCTGCAGAGATGCCCAAATTAAACTACAAAGGCAATGTGCTTGTTTAGTAAAAATCCCAGCAAAAATCACATCATAATCATTATAATATTTTTCCAGTGTAAATGAAATGACCATTCCCACTAAAATCTTGACTCGTATAGCAAATTTCTGTCAAAATAATGCTAATGTTAATAATAATAATATTTTTCGCATTTGGTTCAGCCCAATATTTAAAAAATCATATTAAAAATAATACCGATATATCGTGAACAATGTGACCCCTAAGATCTACTATAAGTCTAGTAGGAGGCACAATCAGTCCTGGAAGAGCCAAGTCACCCCCTGAACAGCGGCTTCGTTTTGTTGCCGTCTGGCCACAGATTCAGTCTGCCTAAATGCAGGACAAAGAAACAAAAACGGTTTTGTCCCTGCTGCTATAGGCTTTTTTAATTATTCCATGTAAGATGTGGACTTCTGTGTAGTATGTATTTATTTTTGTTTCTTACTGATGTTGGCTGTTGTTTTGTATAACCTGTGTGTTATTTATGTTACATGCTGCTGCACAACGAATGGCCCCCCCTGGGAATAATAAAGACTCCCTGAACAAAGTATAAGCAAAAAAATTACAGAAGACTCTTTAATAAGATTTACAGAGAAAATACTGAAAAACAGTGCAGCAAGATACCAGAGATCTGCTAATGATCATACGATAAATTATTACGAGGATAAGGAGAAAGACAAAGGGAATTTTAGAACTCCAATAGCACCACAAAGTATGGTTTTGTGTGTAGGACTCGGCCAGGGCCTGAAGGCATAGGGGTGCAGAAGAACCCTTCAGTAGATTTTGTGATCAATAATTCATCATTACATGACTTTGACCCCAAGACATAAAAGCCATAGGTTCAAAACAATCAGCCCAATATTCATGTGAGCAGCAGTTAAAACCGTGAAAAAACATGTTTTTAATGTGATGTTGAAATTCCCTTTGGAGACAATGAACTCCAAATAGTTTGTATCTTTGATGTTTTTCTATATAAGAGCAACAGCTACACGCCAGAAATGAAAACACAGAGAGGATATACTGAGTGAGACTATTGTCAGAAGTAAACTGGTTAAATAGGAGATCGTAATGCACAGAAAACTTGCATATCAAGTTACTTAACATTTTAAGCATACCTTAAGGTAATTGTGCGAAGAAAAAAAAACCTGTATTACACCTTGCTACTATTGACTTTTACAGTCCCATACTTCAGGGCTGTAGTGTAAATGTAGGCCCACACAGGGGGAAGCCTTGGCCTAACTTTGTAAACAGTTTGAATACAAAACAAGCGTCTCCTCCCACTCAAGGCCTTGAGGTTTGAGGCGTTTCTAAAAGCTGCTGGACAGTCAGTCATCTAGAGACCAGTTTTTGTCAAGAGCTAATCGGCCTAATACATTTTCAAATAGTTTTTGCACAAGCACCACTGCAGGCGATTGACAAAGATGGCAAGCTTACCCTTTGCAGTTATGAGACAAACACAGTATTTTGTAATTCCCCACATGTCTCTCAGTGTTCTTTCAGGTCAGAAATATCACTTGATATGGACTTAGTGTTTGATATTCCCCCTAAAGTTTCCTTTGATACCTGAAAACATTTATGTAAACAGATTTTTGTGCATTCCTGCTCTTATCTTCATTCTCCTGAGCTATGTCAGTCCTTCTCTCCATTATCTCTCTTCTCCATCTACACTTTACCCTCACTAAGGTCATTTGTAGCTCAGGAAACAGATCAATAATGAGTTCAGATTTACTGGCAAAGTGCTTACCTTGTATCCTCAGTGCCATTCAATCCAGCTTGGGACTTGCATCTGCCTACTGCAGAGTCAAGTTTCACATGTCCATGGTGCTCAGGGGGCTTCTGAGAAACAGCAAGAGAAATGCAACATCATTACAGATGCCAAAAACATAAAGACTGACAATATTAAGTGAGTGTATTTGCTTCTAGGTGATAAAGTAGTTAGATTGGTTGTCTTTGTGTACAATGGTTGTGGACTGCGACCTAACCATATAACTAGCAAACAATAAAAGCGTTTCCAGTGGCACTTAACATGGGCGTTATTGGAAGGAGTTTTATCGGCTAATGAACATGCTAACGTGGTCTAAATACAGTCAAGCCTTAATAGCAAACCTTACAACGGCCAACTTAGTACAATCAGCCTGTCCTGTGATGCAGGTAAGATAAAAAAAAAAACAACACTTTCCCTGCCTTTATTAGCTTAAATATTAACGTTACCTCTAACGTATACAGAAAAAGTAACAAAAAAGAAACGCTAATACAAATTGAATCACGAATTTGTTTTAAAGTCCTTGCTGGCCGAGGTCATCTCACCAAACTGCCAGAATGTTTCAGAAACAGACAAGTCAAAGATAGCTTAAACTTACCGTGTCGAAAGGACTTCATTTTTGTCTACATACACGGAACAAAATTTTACTTTCCAAAACGAGTCCAGAGGCTTTTCTCAACACGGTATCGTACAGTAACGTGTGTGTTATCAGTCCCACGAACCAAGCGCTATAAACGACTCGTTTTCTGGTTCAGCCTGTTGACAACTGACGGATTGGACTCAGTTCCTTAAAGGGAAAAACGTAGCAAGGCCAGAGTAATCGAGCTCGAGCAGCGGGATGACTGGCTTGCTGCCTAGTCGAGGGTTGACGATCTATTTTTCGATAGAGCTTCTAAGAGGGTCTGTGTAAACAGTGTAAAATGTAAATAAGTTGAGTAAATGTTGCCCAATGTTGCTTTTTGGCTTATCAATAAAGGGAAATAAGATTATTACGAACCCGTTAATAGGAACAGTAAGAAATCTACAGGACCTCATAATTATGTGAGGTTATGAGTCCATGCTAAATATAGCTTGACTTGACAAAAAGAAAACGTCCAACAAAAACTATGAGATGTTTTTTTTTTTTTTTTGTTAGGTGTGAAAATGCAAACCAATGTAATGGGTAACCTGACAGTGTGATTGGAAACCACAGCTTCTATAATAGTACTCAACTATCTATATTAAAACTTGTGAATTAATTGATTAAACATCTTCCCAATAACAATGTTGAGGCTAATGCATTTCTGCTATAAGAGAACATTTAATAAAGTCTACACTTAAATCCTGTGATTTACATAGGCATACATGCTTATAGAGTGTTGCCACCTAGTGTTAGTGCATTGAAACGGTTCGCATTAAATTGAGGCTGACACAAGCTTGATGCATATGATCTGAAAGAAAACATTAGGCTTGAAATGCTGAGAATTTTAGTGATAAGACAGAAACATTTTTATTAGTAGTTTGTACCTTTGTTGTCATTTAGTAGGCCCTATATTCTAAATTGTATGTCCACAGTCAACAGTTTTTAAATGTTAAGCTTTATAAGTGGGAACTACTGTTCATCTACCGCTACAGTAATTACACCATATTATTATTTCCTTAAAGGGTGCTGTGTGCTTATGAGTCTGCGCACCTGTAACAAATACCAGGTTTAGTGACTGCGCAGTGGTGATCAGCAGAAAAGGCCTACAAGTCACATAACACTTTCAAATGTCAGTAAAACCAAAACTGAAATCGCGATCATAGTGATCAATTTCATTGATTTGTTTGGCTTTTTTTGGTTTAATTTGTAAACAACTTCGAAAGGTCTTATAAGTTAGCAATCCATAGGTCTGGAGAGATAATTTGATTACACTGCAATAATTAACAGCAAAAACATCCATCTAGTTTAAGGTTTATACACTTGACAAAGACATGATTTTCTCCTAAACTCTTCAGGACACTATATTATGAACTTCACATGCAATACGTGTAATGTGTTATTTCATGCATGACTCCTGTCACACAACAGTTTGATGGAGAAGGCAAGGTCCACCGTATAAGCTAACAGTGTAATACTGGCAACCACTGTTTCCATGATAACCAGCTCTGCACTTTTGTCAGGGTTTTGTCCGGGGTCCTTTAGCTGCAGTATCTTGGTAAAACAAATCACCGTGGCCACCATGTAGAGCAACACCCCAATCAGACTGAAGGCAGCCAAAAATCTGTCAAAAGGTAGAAGACATCGCCCAGCAAAGTCACCTAATATTACTACCAGTGTGACTAGAGACATGAAGACACAGACACCGTATGACACGCCAGAGGCCCACAGTTGCCAACTATGTACTCCACTAGGAAAGCCATAGACCAATGCCACGACCAGGGGTATCATCTGACAGCCTCCCCAGAGCTGGAGTGTCTTGAGGAGACCAGGCATGCTGCCCATGTAGCCTCTTTGCTCGTGGGCTCGGGTGCAAAGAACATAGGACTCTGAGGAGTAGGCGAGGAAGGTGAGAAAGGAGGCCACAGCAGCTGCCACAGGGCGTGGCAATACCCTTTGATTATCCATGATGATCCAAGGGAAAACCACAGAGGCACTGAGACACATCAGCGCACCTAAGGCTGCCACTGTTATAGTAAGGTTCTTCCAGGATATTGGGATGAGGCTGTGAAATTGGATGACGCTGAGAATATGGATAAGGAGTGTAAGGGTGAAAAAGAAGCACCAGGTAAACATGCAGAAGATCCTGAATGTGTTGTGGTGATGGAGGTCAGATGAACTTTTGTTTAACTTTGAAGGTTCCAGAGAGGCCACAAGACTGAAGGTAGTACAACCGGTTAAGACTTCCCATGTCCGCACCAAAAAAAGGGGACTGATGAAGTCTCTGGCCTCTAGTACAATCACAGGCATTGTCACAGTGTTGAATCTGAGAGATGGTATCCGTAGGTGTGTCAGACAGTACCTTAGTCTCAGTTCCTCTATATTTATTTAAAAAATCTTGTAATTCAAAAGCTTTGTCAACCAGCTTGTATTGTTCCTAAAATATCCACTTAATGTTGAGTTCGAAGAATATTCCAGTACAGTCCACGGAAATAGTCACCTCAAACAAATCTTCTCTTGAACCATCAGGTTTCACAAAAAAAGCACATGCCTTCTCTCTGTTCTGTTCCCTGTGCTTCCTCCCGTTTACATGCAAAGTAAAGCTTCAAAAAGCATCTCTTAGTATATATTTTGTAGCACTGTCGCTGTCAAAATAGGCCTCGCCCACTTCCTTTTTGAGGCTGCAGCAGTGCTTTCAGTGTCACTAGAGGTAGGTGCAAATGACCACAATAAAAAGCGTATGCAAACACAGCTATGTTCCTCCCACCTTCGATTCTCATGAAATCCTGTTCCTTTTTTTCAGAATAATAAACTACTGTGGGTACAGGATACTTACTTTACAGTACGGGCAGCAACCTTCAAACCCTCTTGTTGACCACTTTGACCTCACAGTTAAAACATGGTCACAAAAAGTTCACTGAAAAGTTGCTTGAATGGTATTTGAAGCTGTCTGTGCAGTGTTTGTGTCAATCGGTTGATGTGTTGAGTGCTGTAGATCATCTGAGTGAAGTGTTGCTCAGGTTGTGGGTGTGGATCTTCTCTACCCTCAGGGGAGAAGAAACTGATATTGTTAAGAGCATCTCCCTTCTCATTTGACAGCACTTGGAAATGTGTCTGATTTGCTTGGATGGAAAATAGTGTGTAGAGATCTGTGCGGGCACCAGCAACAAGCTGGAGATATTGTGTTGTCTGAATGTATATGCATTCTTTCACATGTGTGTGGATGCTTTTTCCTTCTTGTATGCATGCGCTTACACTCTCGAAAGGTTTTGTGTGCATGGGTCAATTCATATGTTTTGTGAATGCATGCATGTTTTCATAGGGCAGAGGCAAGTATCTTCCTCTTGTGTGTACACAAGCACAAAGAGTTCTCTGAAGATCCCAACCAATCACTTTGCCTCTGTGTATCGGCACACCTGCTCTCTGTGTTATAAATAGACGGTGGATACATCAATTCCCTTGTGTCACACAGCTGAAGCTCAAAAACATCTGCTTTGACAGAAGGGAGAGGACACACTCCACAAAGACAGACGATAGCTGATAAACGGTGTCACTAGAGAATCATGGCTCCAATGTGTGTTTTGGGGGGTTGTATCAATTTGCCAACTGCTTATTAAAAGCTAAGACATAACCATTCAAATCACCATGTATATGGCTTAGTTGCGCAGACTAAATAAATAAATATTAATAATGATTTAGAAATTCCTGCACAGAATGACACAGAAGGTTTCTGACACATAGTATATCTAAGCTTGAAGATTTGCTGGAATGTATGTATTTATACCATAGACTGTATATAAAAAGATTTATACGCTGTCATGAATATCTCACTTTTCTAGTCATTCCTGTGTGAATCTACTGCCCCTCTGTGGTGACCCTAGGAATTGCACCTTTTCAGAGGTCCTAAATGGAGAAGAGATGGACAGCTGCCTGTAATACTGGATGAGCAGCAGCAGAGGGGGAGCGTCTTCATGTAATGAACACAGATGAAGTGGAAGGGAACCCCGTCTGTCCTCACTACAAGTACCTCTTTATTTGCAGAATGCAATACCTTCCACTGCTGACAAAACCATTATGTACATCATACACATCAACACATCATTGCTGCCTGTTTGCAATTGCACTGTGATAAGCTTTAATTTTGAATCCACGGCAGTAACTGTCGAAGACTGATTGTGAAGACTGTTTTAAGGGGGAAATGATAAAGAATATTTCCTGAAATGAAATTTGTTTTTCAAATTCATCTTTGATTGCAGTAAATTATATAGTATATTATAATAATTACATTAATTCATTTGGCAGGTGTCTGAAATGACTCACAGCAAGTGCATTCAGACTATAGAGGAAAGAGAGGAGTTAAATCAGGAGTTAATCAAATCCATCAGAAGTGCAACCTCCTACATAAACTAGAAGTAAAGATGTACTAAAAGATGTACTAGTGCTTGGCGTTTTTAAATGAACACATTTGCTTATTGTACTTCAAATACCTAGTTATTCTCCACATCATGTTTTATCTAATAAATTTAATAAAAACAACAGCAACATAAACAATAATAGCAATAATTAATATTGGTGACTTCTAAAAACAACTTATTGTTACTTTATTTATGTAGCACTAAAATAAGTTACAAAGGGCTTCACAAAATACATAAAACCAAAAGATGAACAATGCGATTAAAAAACAAAAACATTCAAGAATAAAATAAGTAGCAATTTAACAGTACTATGTAGCCTTTGGAACAAAAGTGATTTTAACACGTGAAGCTTTGCAGTCATTTATTTACAGTTGTCCTTGTATCATTTCTCTTATTGGTGTGTGCGGCCTAAGGGCACCTGATTGGAAAAGTAAGATTCATTAAAAGGTTTGTCTAATAAAAACTCCTGACTCCTGTCACACACAAAAGTGGAGTTATTAACATGCAGTTGAAAGCAAGCTACACAAATAAGGCTTTTAGGCTTAACAACAACAACAGTATTTTTTAAAAATACATTTTGGAGTGGTGCTTAACAACAAAACAAATAAATGAATAAATAATAAAACATCTACTGGAAATTGAAGCTTCCTCATTCCAGTCAAAGAGGTTGACCAAGAGTGAAACATGTCAGATGAGCAAAACTGAGAAACGACCAAACGTGTGACATTGTGTTTCACAACAGGGTAGCAAATCGAAGTGTCCTTTGGCAAGAAGCTGAACCCCTGAATGGTGTGTGAATGTTACATCCCTTCTGATGAGCAGCCTCTGGCATCAGTGTATGAATGTGTGTGTGAAGCTCTTTACGTGGTCGGGAGACTAGAAAGTCCATTTGTCATTTACTTTGTTGTTTTTTAAAATTGGATGCATCTGCAAACCTGCAGCACTAACAAAAAGCACCATGTGACACAGGAAGTCTTGTATGCATCTATTGAGATGACTGTCATGTGCATGTTAGAGGTTTCGGGTTAGAGGTGAAGAGAAAGTGTTCTCGGAAGAGATGAGTTTTCAAAAGCATCTTGAAGTTAAAGAGGGACGCCCCTGCTCTGATGGCGTGTGGTCGCTCCTTCCACCATTGTGGTGTCACAGATGAGAACAGCCGGGACTGGGATTGCTTTGTGTGTAGGGAGGGCAGAGCCAGTCAGCGTTCGCTGGAGGAGCGCTGTGGCCAAGACAGAACGTAAACTTGTAGTATGGAGTTTAGGTAGATGGGTGCAGACCCAGCACTCACTCTGTATACAAACATTAGTGACTTGAATTTCATTCGGGAGGCCACATATAGCCACTGGAGGTCACCGAGTAAAGGAGTGACATTAGTCCTTTTGGACTGATAAAAACCAGGCGTGCTGCTGCGTTCTGAACCATTTTTAGGGGTTTCACCGCACAAGTAACTTAATGACTTATTCTATTATTTAAATGCCAACATGGCCTATTCAATATGCAAATTGAAGCTTCCTCATTTAAATAAATAAGCTCGACCACATGAGACACAGTGAGAAATGTGTCAGATGAGCAAAACTGAAACAAGACCAATGTGTGACATTTGGTTTATGTGGTATAGGAACAGAGCATGCACTGTTTCAATGATTGAGTACCACTCAAACAGGAAATATAAAGGATTATGTACAAATTTTCGTAGTTTATCAATGCGCACATTATTTACTATATAAATTTAGAGATAGTTTAGTACAGTGGAATGCATCTGCAACTTGCAGCACTAACAGAGAGCACAGTTCTACTGTGTGACAACACAGGAAGTTTCTATGCATCTCTGGAGGTGACTGTCCCTGCCCTTTAGTCATGATTGCTATTTCTACTGCACGTTTACATGCTTAGAGTGCTATCATCTATTTTGATGTTTATTCAGTCACCGTGTATTAGGACCTATAAAAATGATTCTGTCCCCTTGGACTTCATGTTTTGTTGTTTTGCACTGAATCACACTGGATTAAATTATATTTATTTTGTCCTAAAAATGAATCTAAATTAAGTACAAATATAAAACAACACTAGTATAATGACGCAATGGATAAGACACCTGTCTTTGGTGTGAGAGACCTGGGTTCAATCCCCCACTGTGACCCATCCACCATTGTGTCCCTGAGCAAGACACTTATCCCCTAGTTGCTCCAGAGGCGTGCAACCTCTGACATGTATAGCAATTGTAAGTCGCTTTGGATAAAAGCGTCAGCTAAATGAATAAATGTAAATGTAATAAATGTTCATTGGTGCTGCCAGTTGTTTTTAGAAGTCACCAAATAATTTGAGTGAACATCACCTGTGTGTAATTGATGCGAAAAGTGAACTTTAAGGTCCAACTTCTGGCTAGTCAAGTTCCTAATTTACAGGCAAAATCTCCTCACAATGAAGAAGTGAAGTTTTGAATATTTGAAGGAAGCATTTAGTTGTAGCAGAGAGGGCGTTGTTGGATTAGGCTGGTCATAAGGGCCAATATATCCCATGGGAACATGAATATCTATACCACAATTCATTTAAATCCATCTAATGATATATTTTACTCTTAACTAACAAAGTCAATCTGCTTATGAGACAAGATGAAAGGTCAGGGGAGCCTAGACTACATCCTCTGTGGTGCTTTTGTTTGTCAAAACTTGTTTACCAAGGTTTATGGTAATCCACCAAATAGCTGACAAAACATCTCACACAAGAGGTACTCTTTCTTTTCTGCCTTTTCCATTTCAGGTTCTCTGGGCACTATGTAACACTCAACTGTTGCCTTTCTCGGCTAACTGCAAACTCGGGTGCCTTTCATGCAGGTGATGCTCTGGTTGGTATTACAGCCAAATCATTTCAGCAGCTGTTTGCACTCAGTCACAATTATAGCAGCCGAATTGTTGTGATGCGTGGATCAGCTCTGACATGATCTGAATCCGCATGTAGGCCTACAGAAAAATCCTCCACCTGCCCCACCCAAATAATTATTTTCTCAGATTTAGAAACCCGCACCTGCATGGACATTTTTGCTCCAAATAAAATAAAAAATAAAATATCAGAAGGGTGCCGCAAGAGAAAGTTTTTGACTTGACGGGAATCTATTCTACCCGGCCGATGCAACACTAGCACATGCTGTGATAGTAATCAAGTGGATCCACCTCATGCTGTGAGTCACAGCCAGT